AAACCATTTCATCCGCCACTTTATATGACTAATACAATAATTAGGGATGTCACTTTTCATGAGCATTTAGGTGTTACACTTGCGTTTAATCTTTCGTGGCGCCCTCATATCTTGAAAATTCATCAGAAGGCTTCTAAAAAACTAAATATGCTTAAACCCTTAAAGTTCATTCTAAAAAGAAAAACCCTTGACGTTTTGTATAAATCATTAGTTCGATCGTGTTTAGAATACGCCGATATTATTTGGGATGGTTGTACAGAAACCGATAGTGATCTTCTTGAAAAATTGCAGATCGATGCGGCTCGATTAGTTACGGGTGCTATAAAAGGAACCAGCCGTGAAAGTCTACTTAAAGAAACAGCTTGGGTTAGGCTCGGGTCCAGACGCTCTGATCATAAGCTTTTTATGATGTTCAAAATTTTGAATAATTTAGCACCACCATACCTACTTGAATTGCGTCCTGAACACATACGCACGAAATCAGCTTATACGCTACGGACTCATGATGACCTTTGTGTTCCTTTTGCTAGGACAGAACGTCTTCAAAAATCTTTTGCCATTTCTTCAATTAAACTTTGGAATAGCTTGCCATTAAATGTTCGAACTTCTGAATCTTTACCTCATTTTAAAACCAATCTCAAAATTTGGCGTGATGATCCAATTCCAAATTCATTGTTCTATATTGGTAATCGCTACGCCTCCATACTTCATACTCGTTTTCGCCTATTTCATTGTACCTTAAATCATTATTTGTTCTTAATAAATTGCGTGCCATCGCCATTATGTTCTTGTGGTTCAACCATTGAGACTGTCAGTCATTTCTTCTTTGACTGTGGCCGATATGCTGCTCATCGCGCTGTTCTTTTTGCTTCCGCTGCACATTTACTTGGTTCCAAATGGTTAAATTCAACAAGCAAAATGCGTTTATCATGGTTTTTGAACGGTCATCCCGACGTTTCGCAACATACAAATGCTAATCTTTTCCTAATCGTTCAGAACTTTATTGTGAATACTAAACGCTTTTGTTAAAATCAAGAACACTTTTCAGCCATGCCTTGCGGCAATGTTCTTTGTAAGATTGAAGACGCTGTTAATTCTGCAGGTGCATGGCCATGTGTGTGTCAAAATTTATTTTATTCTTATTCTCATACGTTTCGTTACCACTCTATATTTATTAATTTCAATGCAAACTACGTATTTATTAATGTCAGGCAAGCTTTCCCTAGATAAGCCTACGGCCTTTGGAAAAATTGCCATTTCTTTTTTTTTGAAAATTAAATATTGTTTATATGAAATATCAATTCAAAAATGAATACCCACCCCTGGCCAAAACCTTTACAAAAGGATACCATTCAGTTGTCACACATGTCCTTTTAATTGCCACTTCTGTGACATGAGTTTGATAACGGCTTGTGAAATTTTCTGCAATCTAAAGTTTCATATTGTCTACACTTGTAGTTTCTTTGGAGACACAATCTCCATTTGTCTCCTGACAAATTGGAAAATGATGAAGATAATGACTTGATTCACATATTATATTGACATTGCTTTTTAGTCTCCAATATTTCAGTGAGTCATGCTTTGGAAATGACAATAATTTTTTATTACCCAACACTTGAGTTGTTTTGTTTATTACCCAACCCTTGAGTTGTTTTGTTTTTCATTTACCCAACCTTTTACTTACTTAAAATTTTGTTTACCCAACCCTTTTCTCTTCGGTGCCACCACCCGCCATAAATAATGACCGGTCCCTTAGATAAGTTTACCAATCTAGCCGCTGAATTTTGCACACTTTGAAGTTTTTGGATCAGCCGCTTAGGTAGTCCATAGTAAGAAGAGTTACCATAGTCAAGCCGTGATGTTATAAATGCATGAACTAGAGTTGTAGCTGCTGACTTCGACAAGTATTTCCTTATCCTTCTAATGTTTCGTAGATGATAGAATCCTGACTTGCATACTTCTGTAATATGTTGCTCCATGGACATACCACAATCGAAAAGCATACCAATATTTCGAACATAGTTCGACGTTGTGACTACCTCACTACACACCGAAACCGAAAAAATAGGTGGTTGAGGAAGGTGTCGAGCACTGAGAACTAACAGCTCAGTTTTGTCTCTGTTCATTTTTAACATATTTGACGTCATCCATGCATCAATGTCAGAGACACATGCTTCAATCTTGGATTTTGCTAGATCAAGTTGACCATCCACTGATGATTTAAAAACTATATATAATTGGGTGTCATCCGCATACAGGCGAAAGTCAATACCATGTTGTCGAATGATGTCAGCCAGAGAGGACGTATAAAGCACAAACAACATGGGTTCCAAAACTGACCCCTGCGGAACACCATATTTCAAGTCATAACAATTTGAGGTTTGTCCTGCCACCTTAACAAACTGTGTGCGATCAGATAGATATGATGAAAACCATTCCAAGACTTTACCGTTGAAACCAAACCTTTTTTCCAATCGGGAAAGTAATATTTGATGATCAATCGTGTCAAGGGCAGCCGACAAATCCAATAACAAAAGTATTACCGATGACCGATTGTCTAATGCCAGGAGAATATCATTTTGAACTTTAACTGAAGCAGTTTCAGTGCTATGATACTTTTTATAGGCTGATTGATACACTTCATACAAGTTATTATCCCTAATATAAGTATCAACTTGGGACGCAACAACTTTTTCAACAGCCTTTGACAAAAATTTCAAATTGGAAAGTGGTCGAAAGCTTGAGAATTCTTCATGATCCAGAGACGGTTTCTTCATAGATGGTAGCAGAAGTGCCATTTTCAAACTGGGTGGGACCAATGCATGATGCGGAGAAAGATTAACAATGTCTGTTATCACAGGAAGTAATAGATGGCCACACTTTTTAAAAACAGAAGCTGGT